TTTTCAGCAATTTCTTCTGTCTTCCACTTCCTGTTGCCAGGAGACGGGCGCCACGCTGTGATGTCACCGTGATGCAACACAGGCGTCACCGTGACGCTGGAGAACTTCGCAGGGAGCCGGCACCACGGCCAGACATCCTGCTGACTGGCAGGACCAAGCCTGGCTGGCGGGGAAAGGGCCACCGCTGGAAGTTGCAGCCAAGCTGTGAAATAAGAAGATAAAAGGGAGTCGCCTTCACCAGAGACATCCCGAGCTCCCGACCCGGAGGAGCCAGATTGGTGGGCGGCTTCAACTTCTCCTGACCATCCAGGAGGTGACATGGGGACATCCTGGGATGCTGCCACCGGACCTCTCGCAGAAGAAAACGCCCTGCGAGGTTTGCCTGATGAGTCCTGGGTCCCCATCATACGCTATCAGTTCTGGGAGGAGATCTGCGCCAAGACCAACCCGGCTTCAGCCCGCCTGTTCCTCAAGAAGCTCTGGAAGATCGTCGGCAGCCATCGCTTCAAGTCAATCTGGTGGGGCGACGATGGAAACTGCGTCGTGATCGCAGAAAAACTCTTCAGAAAGGAAGTGCTGGGGAGGAGGGGACCCCTGAGGATCTTTGAGACCGAGTCCATGCGAGGCTTCATTCTCCAGCTTAACCTCCATGGCTTCTGCAAAATGGAAGGGGATTCTCTCCTATCTGCCTCCATCGAGGAGCTGCAAGCAGTAGCAGCAGCAGGTTCTGCTCTGGGCAAGGTACGTCGGTTCCTCCGCGCACAAAAGATTCCTTGGGATCTTCCAAGGGGAGACGTTCATGCTCAGATAAAATAAACCTTTACAAGGCAGAAGATGGGGATGGGAACAAATGGCCTGGTTTTGTCTCAGGGGCCATTTTCAGGAATTCCCAGCGCAGGATTTCGCAGGAGCAGAAATGCTGACAAAATTGATTTTGGTTATTTCTGCTGACTTTGAATCCGTGAAACGGAAACATAGTCCCATCGTATCGTGCTGGTTTTGTGCTTGCTGTATCTGGCTGCACCAAACCTTTAAATCTTCTTGTGGTATCTGCTGAATGCTGACAAGATACATGTCAGCATCTGCATTATTCCTGACATGGCCATTCCACGCTGAGTGGTGTGGTACCACTAGTGAAAACTAGCGGTATTGGGGTCTCTCCATCAGTTTTTAAGCTTTTGAAAATCCTACACTTCTCTGCTCCCAAATGCCAGAAACACAAGGGTGGTTTTTACTTAACAAAACCATATCCTAACATTTTATTCAGCCAAAACTCAAGGCTTAAAATGCCCCGGAGAGACCTTTTTAATACCCAAGTTTGTCTTTGCTGATGCAGATGCTTAGTTATCGGATCTCTGTCTTCCTCCTCCTTGCAATGATGGCAGCTAACTGTTCTCCTTTGCATTTTGTAGCTGCTCTTCTACTACAGCCCCTTTTTTAGGAGAGATTACCCCAACCTCCTCAGGATGTGCATGCAAGGTGGCGGCGAAAGAACGAGAGCCCCAGCTGCATCCCCGCCGGGCCCCAAGGCGAAGCAAGAGCACCCGAGGAGGAGACGACGACCTGATGCTCAGCTGGCGGTAGCGGAGGAGGAGGAGGAGGAGGAGAACAACACCCAGACATCGGCAACCACCAGCTCCACACCCACCGAGCCAGGGGCTGACACAACCGCCCAGACGGGCAGTGCCGGTCCATCCCCACCAAAACGGCACTGCAGCCACAGCCCCGCTGGCACCCAGGAGGCGGCTCCTGCTCCATCCACGGCTTCGCCACGCCGTGTCACTCCCCCTGCCCCAAACAGTCCCCTCGCACCAGCCGTGGGACGCCCCGCGCTTCCATCTGGGCGGACAAATTTAGCTGCTGCGCAGGTCCCCGGGGCTGGCCTGCCTCCTTTCTGCGCTCCGTGGTTTGTGGTGGCCGTTCTGGCAGCAGCTTCTGCCCTTCCCGTGCCAGGGCCACCGCACGGCCAAGCTCCAACCCACCGCCACTGCCCAACCTGCGCCTGCGGACCAAACACCGCAGCTGAGGGCAATGGGGTTGGACCCCAGCAGGGGCTGGGCTAGAAATAGCACAGATCCTAGGTAGCAAGTAAGGCCATAGAGGTAGAAATACGTTAGTATAGGAATAAGGAATAATACATTGTTTGTTGTTCTCAATAATAAATCCTTTCAAGTTGCCTTGTCCTGTCTCTACAGTCTCACAGTCGCCGTCTCGACACCCGGGCGGGGGGTTGCCTTCAGGGACACGAAGGGTTTGGCTCCAGCCCGCGCAAGCCAAAGGCCCCAGGCACTAGCCCTGCACTCAGCAAAACCCCGCAAAAGGCCAGCCTGGGGCTAATCCAGGAGCTGCACCAGCTCCCAGGGCCACTCAAACCAAACCAATCCCTCAGAGCTCTTGGGGGGTCCATGCCCCGTCCTCCCCCAGCTCAGACCAGGGGCCAGGGCCAGCGGGGCTGCAGGGAGCGCACATGGGCTTCTCCTGCCCATCCTGCATCACCTCTGGGACAACTACGGCATTGCAGCTGGCAGAGCGGTAAATCTCTCCTACGGGAGTCACACATTGGACTCACCGGAGGAAGAACCTCTCCCATCACCATTTACTGAGGCTTCCTTTACAGAAGAGGCTTTCACCAAAGCATTTCAACGAGATGCCGCTTCATGATCCCCTTCCTTTCCACAGAACAGGGAATTTCGTGTTTTGGTGAGAGCAGACCCGTAACTCCTGCT